CTTTGGGCGTCCCGCCTCTCACAACAGCTGATCTCGATCGGCTTCTACATGTGGGAGCAACGGAACTCCGTTCAACATTCGGATGATAACGTTCAACTACGTGAACGTCACAGTACTGTCAATGAGGGGATTCACTCACAGTTTGACATGGGTCCTGATGACTTGCCTAAGGAAATTCAACTGATGCTAACAGGCCGTTGACGAGTCCTTCGCAAGTCATTGGTGGACAAGGAAGAGTGGCTTAAGTTGCTTTGTCAGGAACGCAGAGACTTCCGTCGCTCCATGAAAGCACAACGCCGCAGTCTGCGGACTATTTTTTCCCCTGGACCCTGACCAACTTTTCGCGGGACCTTACGTGTCCCAAATTCACCCCGCCACGTTGCAGGAGAAGTCTATACCCCTTTGGTAGACTTGAGCAACTTCTGTTCATACAGATGCCTCACATGGTTCAAACTTGTTGTTGACTCACCGCTTCACAGTACTTGACCTTTACAGCCGAATATTTCACAGGCAATCGAATGCCCACAGAGTAGCATATTAACGATTAATGTCTCAGTTATTATTATTTTTCACTCCTGGTTCACACACATGCGACACTAGTATTGATATAGTATCAAATCGGGCTCTCTTAGGGGTTCTAGATGGTGCGTTGAATGGGGACTAAGGAAGTCCAAACGCAATCGTACAGTTTAACCAAGAGTAAAGGTTTAACGACAATTTCTCTTCACCAAAGGTTTGTACCGGTACACTTGTACCGGTACACCTGTACCGGCAGGCTTTCAACCAGAGGTTTGTACCGGTACACCTGTACCGGTAGGCTTTCAAACGTTATCCACCAACACGACGAAAAATGAACAAAACATCAACTTTCAGAGGTACGAGTCTACCATTTTCAATTTGCTTCACCATATTTTGATCTCTTGCACACATTCCATGATTTCGTCAATCGAAAAATGATGGATGTCAAACTGCGGCTGCTTAATGAGACGTGCGGACATGTAGACTCTTGCACAACGGAGAACTGTAATTGAAACGGAATCTATTTTTTCGCGCTCTGTCTATTACCATGGGTGAGTTTGGCTGTTGTTGTTCAGTTACTGTAATGTCTTCCGTTCTAATCTCTGCCTTTGCCGCACCACGCCACGAGAGGCTTGGGTGCGGTTGATTTTTGCAGGGAGCTCTATCCGACTGCCCCCGGGTGACAAGATTTGGTCCTGCAGAAAGCTTTCGCGGTCGCCATTCCACTTTTGTCTGCAAAGTGGCCTGTCTTCTTTTTCCCAGGGTTGCATCTAGTTATATCCCAAATATGCCCAATAATCGCTCTCCGCCTTCTTTGCTTCAATTTTCTCTATATCTTCTGTTGAAAATTGCAACACAGTACCAATAGCCCCTTCCATGTGCTCACGGACATGAATATCTGATGTCAAGTAATTCACCATTAGATTTTTTAAATAATCCAATTTTGAGTCGTCATTTGATGAAGTACCAATTCGAACCAAGGAAGTCTGCGGATAACAGACATTTCAGTTTTGTCAGACAGAAATTTGATACTCAAATACAACACGATTGATCCACGTACGCCTTGTGGACCTCCTTGCTGTGCTTCGAAAATCTCCTTCGCTTTCTTACGATACAGCCGAAAAGACTCTTTTAAGTCCCGATATTTCAACTCATACTTTCCATCAACAGTCTCAGCCTTCTCCGCTGCTACATATAGCTTTGATTCGAGCTCATATTTTTCCTTCACACAAGTTTCGTACCGCTGTCTCCACTGAGACGCCAGAAGAGCTTCTGAGCCAGAGCTTTTCAGCTTCTTGTTTTCCGCTAAAATCAAATCATAGGCCTCTTTCCATTGCGCTTCTTGCTGTGACATTTCTGCTCTCATCCTTTCAAAACGAGAGAATTCCGATCTCGCTTGTTCCAACTCCTTTTCCTATGAAGAGTATTAGGGCTGAGCAAGGATCTTAGACTTTGAATACAGACGAAACGTACCACATCTTGATCTTCAATTCGCTTCTTTGCAGATTCCACATTGTTGGTTTGTAGTTCTCTTATTTGGGCGTCGGCTTGCTTACGAGCCATTTCGGACTTGACACGAAACCGTCGGAACTCTTCTGTTATTTTGGAAACAGATTGCCTGGCCTCTTCTTGCATTGTAGATGATTGCTGCGGTGTTAGACTATACGGTGGAAGCTTGAGTGGTTCCCCTGTATCTCTGCGAATAAAGTCTTGTAGTTCAGCTTCCTTTTCAAATAACTTCCACTTTTTCGTTCGTTGCGGGGGGACGACAGGCTCTTGTTGATCGGGGTCAAAAAGCTCGAACTCAATAAGTGCCCAAATTTCTTCAGAAAGATTGTGACTGCTTTCTTCCTGATGACCATGGTCGACTTTGACTCTTTGGCACACTCGAACAATGATGCAGCCATTCTCAACCGCATTCCCGACGACATCGGGCACTTCATCGCCTCCAGTCGCATTGTTGTCTCGTTGCACATCCTGTCGACTTACAGATTCGAGATCAGCTATTCAATTGCGTATCAGAAATGGCTTAGGCGCAGATGAAAGGTGCAATCGACGCAAAATCGCAAAATAGCAAAATAATCTTACCCTTCAATCTTTTCAATTCATCATCTTGCTGTTGGATTCTCTCTTTTGCTAGTTTTAAGAGATTTTTGTATTTGACATTTGCATCTTGCATTTTTTGCATCTGCATTTTCACCTTTGAGGCGGCGGTGGAAGGGCCGCTTTCGTCTTTCTCTGCCATGATTGCAGTCCGAAGTTTATTGATTGAATGGAAATTTTTGTTTGGTTTTCAAATGACTTGACCGTTTTGAGCAGTCGTCTCGATCTCGTCAATCGGGGGGACATTGTGCTGTCCCCCATTAGCAACATTGACAACGAAAGTCATTTTTTTAGCGTCCGTACTTTTGCAATTAATACCGAGCTCGATGGCGACACTAGCTTCTCGCATCCAGGAGCGTGCGAGTCAATTCATCTCAGAACAGGCACATCTTCAATCTCTACAGGCAGAGTTAGGAATTGCAACTTCTGTATTGACTGATGAAACTAAACGCACACAAGAATGTGTTAGAAGTCTACTCGATGTGTCACATGATCGTTTCGGCATTGAACGGAAAATCTGTGATATAAACCAACAAATCGAGGCTTACAGTAAACTCAACACATCGCTTCGAACCGATACACAGCGACTAGAAGAATCAGCTCGCATAGCACACGAAAAATTGGAAGACGATATCAACAACGTTTTTGCTCCGCACGATTCCAACATTGCTGTGTACTGCCAAGCTCTGGACTCGGCCATTGCACGAAGCAAACGACGAAGAACCGAAGATAAGGAGCGATGTAAAAATATTCAAGCGCGAATCGCAATTCTGCAAATCGAAGAGGAACAATATTGGAGAGAGACATCGCAGTTGGAGACCGATATAAATCGCTTGGAAGTAGAGGAGATCCAAAGTGACAGGGTGATTACATCTCTCGGGAAAAAGGTTCAAGATTCGCTTTCCAAGGTGGGTAGGTCATTTCCCATTTTGTATCGTACGATGCCTCCTGTCTTTTTGCGTCGTCTCACTCGCACTTCATCTGAATCATGTCCTCAGCGAGTCTCACTGCGGCAATCCTTGAGGAAAGGTCCGTGCGACACATCCAGTAGCGATGGAGATGCCTAATACAAAAGCACCAGCCTTTTGATTTGAACCTTGTGATTCTTGGCTCACTACGAAATGACGCAGTGAAACGTGCAGTGAAATACCCTTTCTGCAGCGAGATATCATTGGACTTTTAGCAAGAATGAATATAGTGATATAATGCCTTATTCTTGGTAATGATAAACGGTTGGACATCGACTACGGCAGGCAGGGTACCTACAATAGCACAACGCTAGCGCGATCGAATAGCGACCAGAGTCGTTCTTCAAAGTACAATAATGTGTAGCACAGATGGACACCTCTCAAAACAAGCGCCTTGATCGACTGACATCCTTCGCCTTCTTCCTTTTAAACTAGCCCAATACGACTTGTTCTAGATATCCTTTCTGAAGCCTTTGAACCTGCTCTGTGTGGCTCCGGTACTTGAACTTGTCAACGCGAAAAAGGTCCAGCTGGACATATTTCCCATCTTGTGGTTGTTCTGCTTTTTTTCCGTTGAACAAACCATTGACTGCCACGTGGAATCAAATTGGCTCTGGATTTCAAAATCCAGCACTTGGTAAAAGTTTAGCAAAACCACCATGGTGCAGCACTCGAAATGCCTTATTCTCGTGGCCTTTTTTCGGGTATTGAGTACCACATCATTCCTTTTACCTGAAAGAACCATTACGAATCAAAAATTTCGATCATTTGAACCACAACTACCAAATTTGTCTTCTAGAGGTCCAATAGCAGCTCTGAATGCAGGTGGGGGGAAAGACCTGAGCTCGTCTAGCAGGGAACGACGAGAGGAGGAAAATCGAAGAAAGAAAAGAAAGGATGATGTCGTCATCGGTAAAACTTCTGCAAAGAAAGGGGAAAAGGACTATGCCCTAGATCCAGAAGCTACTGAGCAAGAGTTCTTGAGGCAAGCATCGAATATCGAACAAAAGGTATTTCTGATGACATCGAATGGAAAGAAATTGCTCAATTCGGTACGCCACACTCCTCTTCAGTTCGATTCATTCCGTCCTTTCTTTTCACCTGTGGTATTACCCTAAATCTAGCTGAGACTTGAAGAAGCTGATAAAGCATTCGATAGTGTTCTCGAACTCAAACCGAATGTCTACTTATGGCAAGCTGGTATTGGTATGCATTCGTGTGGATGTCACCCAAGTTGTTCTCAAGCCTGATTTGATCACTCATGTTTCCTGTTACGCTCTAATTCGATAGTGAAATTCTATTTGGGAAATATTGGAGAAGCAGGTGAAATATTTGTGCGAAATGCTCAGCGGTACGAAACGAAGTTTGGACTACAAGGCAGCGAAGAAAGAATATGGAGACACGCCTGCGAATTGAAACTGCTATATTCAATGTCCGTATCCGAAAGAAAAACATTAAAAAAAAACAAGAACATCGGTGCACTTATACCTAGTATTCCAGAGTTTAAAAGAGATGATATTTTCGCTAAGGAGACACGACAGGTCGTCAAAATAACCAGAGATCTGTTTGAGTCATCTGTTGAAGGCAATTTCCCCAACGAAATATTGTCAAAGGCGCAATTGTTGTTCTTCGCCAGAGGCGGTACCTCGACTCACGATCGAAAGCTATGGAAACTAACTGCCTGGTACTATTTGGGACTTTACAACGACGTGACAGGCAATGTCGACGAGAGTAGAAAATGCATGAAAATGGCTTTGAAGCTGTGCCCCAGCAGTGGAAAAAGCGATGATATTGTTCATACGCTCCCTTTACTGCACATGTCAGTCAGAGAATGGTTCGACGATTCCGGCTTTGATGATGACCCTTTGGAAGACGATCCTTTTTATCGTGACCACTCTGGATCCGTCCTCACAACAGCCGACGTCGCTTCCATCGATCGCTATATTGAGAAATGCATCAGAGGTGGGGTTACAAAATTAAGTATGGTCGAGCTAAGACAAGCTCTTCGCATTATTGGGTTGAAAACTGATGGGTCCAAGCAAGACCTACGGGAAAGACTCTTCCTCTCCTTGAAGGCAGAAGCACAATCATTTGGATCAGGAAACATCCCATAGTGCCAATTTCTAAGTGGTTCAATCCTGTGATCAAACAGTCTCAACGCTATAGGTTAAGAAGTTTCTTCAACTCGATCTGAGTCAAGCGTTTCTTCTGCTCGCTCGAGAATCCTTTCCATTTCTCATCTCCGGCTGCCTTCTTCGCCTTCATCATGGCCATCGGCAGCTTTTTCTTCTCTTCTATTGGGTCGATTTTGACTTCCTCCTCTTCCTCACTGTCATCGTGATTGGTTTCTTCTTCCTCGTCGAGGTTGATAGTAGACTCACGGACTTTTCGAAATCTTATTGCTGCATACAACCTGCATATGCTCCATTCTTCTTCTGTTATGGTACCATTCCGATTCAGAACACGCATATTGTACAAAGCATTCCGTGCGGATGGTTCTTCATTGCGATTCTCGTAGAATTCATGGAAGTTTTCAGCGTATTCTAGTTCTAAACCCGCTTCTTTTCCAAGAGCCTCTAAGACAGGTATCGGTGTCAGCCATTCTGGCAGGTTGACAGCATCCCCAACGCCTGCTTTATGATCAGATCCTTCGACTAGAGTGAACGTATACTGCAGCCCGAAAAGGTCCTCATCAGAATTCGAACTGTGCGATTTAACAATGCGTCTCACAATCTCGGGTTCAAAAGTGATTCTACAAGCACCAGCCCCAGCCTGAACCACTGCACGAATATCGATTTCGTCATCTCTGTCGAAGTGGTAATCCAAGCCCAAGTTCAAAAGATGACCAACCACAACTCTAGCATCGATTGTGGTGCAAATCAAATTCCCTCCAACATCAAGCAATTCGCTAACAGTGTGAAAAAAGCGCCGTGCACGCCTATTTGTTGACATCATGTAATGAATCGCGAACTGTATTGAAACCACATCGAACGTTTCGGCTTCAATACCCCCGCCACGCACCATCTTGAACTCTGGAGGATTTGATTCAAACTCAGATTCCTCTTGGAGACTCCAAGACAATAGCTTCTGCATGTTCCTATGAGTCGATGCCTTCTTTCGCCCAGGAACATCTGCGCCCAAGTCTGCGCATATAAGTGTAGTCTTTGTCATTTGTAATTTGTTCCGGTTCCTCATCTCGCGAATACGAATCGCGGCGTCTTTTAATGAACCACGGGCAACATCAATTCCGCTGAAGCATAAAGAATTGATAGCCTTGTTAGTCACGAAGATAAAGCGATCAGGTACTCAAAACTTTGCCGTACCAGTAGTTGCTCATGCCACGCTGATGCAAACTCCATTTTGTCAAGTCTCCGCCTTTCCCACAAGCCAAGTCCAGAACTCGAAGAGGACGCATTGGCTGGACAGCGCCATTGATAGCTACCCGGGGATTCAGCTCAGAAATTTGGGTAGCCTTTACCCAGCCGTTGAAAGCACGCATATGATACAAACGAGAGTCTGCACGAGTGTCCAGGTTTCTAGTCAGCCCAGAGTAAAATGCATCGGCAGCTGCCGCGCCAGTATCGACGTGGAAATTGGTATCTTGGATACTCCCGTCTTTCTCATCACAAACTTCATCCAGCCCTCGTTTAGTTCCACTAGTGTGTTGATCAGAGTCTGGGCCCCATATCTCTGTCGTCGCCGCCCCTGTTTCACAAGTATTCCATGGGTTCGTGTCGGAGCCAGGTGGTTGCCAAGAATCTCCTGCCGTGCTTGTTGCTGCTTCGTCCTCTGTAGTAGGAGGCCTCCATAAAGTTTCTTCTCCCCCAATTACCTCGCCTGCGGGAGGCTGCCAGAGACTTTCGCCTCCAGATTGTTCAACAGCCATCACTTCTTGGTGTCGCGCACCACTAAATGCCTCGCGCACATCTTCAAGAGTGCTTGTGTACAGGAAAGCGGCGCAATCCTCAGAGTCTACAAGAGTCTCATCACGGCCCTCTTTCGTCATAGGAACAAGAAGTCCAAAGCGATTATATTTGTCCTTTGAAATGACTCCCACCGAATTCTCCTTCCTCAGTCGCTTCATGAATCTTGCAAATATGGTGGAGTTCTTCTGGTGTCGTGGTTCTAAAAGTGAGAAGTGACTTTTATCCGCCAGTTGCACTGCAATTGTGGATTTGCACAAACCATCTGGTAACGCATCATCGGACATGATTTTTCGAACAAGACTTTGCCATCGGAACACCCTGGTCAGAGAACAAGCATATCAATGTTGATGAAAAATCCACTATGTAGCTCACCTTATTGCACTATCAGCAACTCCACAGATCGTCAAGCTCCTTGAAAGAGGTGCCGGATGATCCGGTGCGTCTGCATACGCATATACAGAACATATTGGAGTTGGGGCGGACACATTGCATTCTTCCAATATCCGAAACAGGTCAGACAAGCTTGACATTCCCATCTCTGCGAGCAGGCTCTTGGATTCCGCCGGGAGATTCTGACTGCACTGCAAATCATGTTTCATAGTTGGGTTACTCTTTGGATAAGTCATTGTGAAGCCGATTCATATATCCTGTCGTTCATGCTTTGTTGAATTGGCAATTTTTATCTTATTGTCGTCATCGTGAGTCGGACTCCAATTAGTCACATGCAAAATCTACACACACTACAGTCAGTCGACCCCGTTAACGATTTGGGGGCTGGGCCCCAAGTAAAGGGGTCTGGGGGCACCCAGCGGGGTGGAACCCTTGCGGGGGGTATCTTGGAGAAGAAAATTTGCAATTTCAGGTCGTAATTAAGCAAAATCTAACAAGAAAAGTGTCGTACTATAGTTGAGAAAAGTGTTGTACTATAGTTGCGATATTGAGCAAAGTCAAGTAGGTTTATTTTTTTTTGCTGTGAAAGAGTATACACTAAGGTTTGTTTGTTTTGTCTTTCGCTTGTTCATGCGCAGGACCGTGTTGCATTTAGGGAAATCGAAACCGCAAAAGCAGACTAGATGTTGTCAAACGCGCGCTAATTTATGATCCCTCGGTTACATTTTCACACGGGTAATCTCGAAAAAAAGGGAACTTTTTAGGGAACTTTTAGGCAACTTTTTAGTGAACTTTTGTCGAGAAAAGGGAGATTTATTCAGACTCCCTGTTTTATCAACCCCCCCTATGTATATGTTTTTCTGCGTCTATCAACGGCTGCGTCAGCTCAGTCTTCCTCCATGGCTACTAATGCAGGCTGGTGTCACGAGTGGTGCTTAAGTGGCAATTTACTATGGCACGCCCCGCAGAACCCGTGACTCGATTGCTCCGTGAGTGGAGAAATCGACCAGTGGGCAAGCGGGTGGGTCCTTAAAAACTATTTGACTAGCTCCAAGTGTTGATCACGTGATCCGTTGGTGCAGGAGGTATCACAACAGAGGTTCGAAGAAAGTTATGGTGTCGCTGTGTTGTGTTGCAGCAAACCCAATGGACTGAGCGCATGCGCGTTCAACTGCCACGCCTGCCTCAGTTCCTTCCGTTACCTTCGCCAACTACAACGTCTATCAACGGCTGCGTCAGCTCAGTCTTCCTCCATGGCTACTAATGCAGGTTGGTGTCACGAGTGGTGCTTAAGTGGTAATTTACTATGGCACGCCCCGCAGAATCCGTGACTTGATTGCTCTGTGAGTGGAGAAATCGACCGCCAGCACCGCCAAAGCCCATCATGGTGGAGTCGGGGAAGGAGGTGGGAAAGGAAATAAAAGTTTAGTACATCGGGGCGAGAGCAACTTCATTGGGAACAAAGACATAGTCACCATCCTGCAGCATGCGACTGGCAAAGCCTTGCATGACTGGTTGGGCTTGGAGGTGGAGATATCGGAGCATGGCGTCGCTTTGCCAGCGTCCGATGAGGCGAATGGTGTTGCTGTCGACATGTGAATTGAAGAGTGCCATGGCTCCGCCAGCGCGGAGGGAGCGTGCACTGACGTCTTGTTCCAAGAAGTTGTACTGAGGACCGAGTACTCGAGCAGATTCGCGAAGAACCGCTGTGACATCTGTAGCTTGTACTTTGTAAGTGCGATTGTTGTGAAAGTAGGTGGCAAGAATAGTCCCTGGTGTTGCTTGGTGGGAGCGAAGATGAATAATTTGACGGACCACGGCTCTGCCAGGGCAGAGGAGGTTGTGGCCGCTTAATCCATGATTGACAACCTCGCCCCGGACGCCATTCTTTTGTGTGGTGAAAGTGAGAGAGACGCTAGTGGCGGCCCAGAGTTGTGCGTCCGTGGAGGTGAGCAAGGGGATGACAATTTGGCCAATGCAGAGCTGGATATCCTGGAAGCGGAATGGGGTGTCATCGTTCTCTGTACCTGTGTATTCTCCGGGTCGGAGAAGGAAAAAGAAAGCAACAATGATCATATCAGCGACCGCCTTGTCCTTGGCGCTGCCGTCGGCACTGAGATTGGCGATCCGGCGGATGAGGCTGATCGGAATTGGTTTTACTCGATTTGGTGGAGGATCCTGGCGTCCGTAAGCCCGAAACATACGGGCCAATCGGAAGTATAGCGCGCCCGTCGAGTCTTTACGGCAGTCCTTGGACCCCATGCTGGCCATCGTCTGGCCCACCGAACGGATAGCGCCTGACACTGTGCCAGCTCGTACGGAGTCACCGGAGGGTCCTTCATGTAGTTGATATTGCGTCGCGAAATTTTGGAGAAATGGAACGGGGTCACTGTATGGGAGCAACGGGTCAATGCAAAGTTCTGAGCAGGATTCGAGCCAAAGATTCCATTGGGCGTCTGTGCGTTGTTGAGTTCCTTTAACGACGCCACGTCGCACGGTTTGTTGAATAATCCGTAGATCACAGTAGAAAGCATTGCGGGCCGCACGTGGAGCATTTGCCAGGACTCGATCTGTGGATAATTAGAGTTGAAGTGAGCAAGGAGTTCGGAATCTGTGAGGTGCCACAGGCGGGAAGCATCATCACTCATGCAATTGAGGAAGCCAGGAAGAAAATTGAGGAGTGGTACATAACGGAAGTGACCTTGGTGGTGTGATTGGACTCGTAGGAGTGAGGCAGCCGGACCTAAGGTGGTGGTGGAACCTTCATGCTGCCAGGCTTCAGCAGGGGTGTTGTCGTGTGAAGATTGGATGGTGTGCTCTCGGAGATCGAAGTGTGTAGTGAGGACATCATGATGTGTCACTGTTGCAGCCAACTCTAAGTCGCTATTAGTAATATCGCCAGTAGGATTTTGAAATGAGACCAGCCGTCTTTGAATGTCATCGTCAAACGGAGCTCTCCATACAATAGCTTCCACGCCATCTGTTGTGTTGATGAATGCAATGCCTCCCATGCCCGCTCCGGCCGCATCTGTGGTACCAACAACTGAGGGTGTTCGTGGGACCAGTTCCACAATTTGGGTTAGGCGGTTTGGCAAGGTGGCCGCCAGGGTGCGAAAGTCATTGATGAAGTGGTGCTCATTCTTGGCAAGCCGCAATCGCTTCTTTGATTCCGTTTGGAAGGCATGTTGAAGGGTACTGAACAAACCACGCGCACCGGGGATGCCAATGACCATGGAGCGTAGTTCTCCCAAGAACTTGTGCCACAGCTTGACGCTTATTCTCCTCTGGGTCGGGGATATGTTGGCAAGGATGGCATCCAGTCGTTCTTGTCGCCGTTGTGGTAGTGTGATCGTTTGGGCAAGCGTATCGAACACCCAACCTAGAACTGTCTTCAGGGTACTCCAGTTCCCGTCACCTTTCTTAAGCTTCTTGACTGATGCTTTCTTGTCGGTTGGGATTGCCGGATGGTGACAGTGGTCAAAAGACGGAGTCCAGCACATGGAGCAAAGTCCTCATTGCATTTCGACATGTAGGTTCATCTCCTTGGACCGCAGCAATGAAGTCGTCCACATAGATATCGGCATATTTCATGGGGCGTTTGTAGTGTGGATGATGTGGTGTGGTTGCCGGAACTGCCAGGGTGACTGGAGTGGGTGCTGCACTTGTTGGAACATGAGACACCGTGGGCTTGGTATGGATGGCAATGTCCTCCAATCGATGTGGTGGTTCTTCCTGGTTGCGTTGTAGCCGACGATTCATTTGGTCCGCAGTAGTTTCCGTGGCAGCCGAAAAATATGGTGGACTATTGATCCATCCCATGGGTAGTACCACCATAGGGAAGGCGACCATTGGTTCCTCTCCTGGTGCTTGCGGCAGGAGAACAGCTAACTTAGGTATATCTCATGCAGACAGCTGGATCCGGTAGAAGCCATCGACAATATCAATTTTGGATAGGTAGACTGGTCCAAAGCTTGGGTCTGACAGTAAGATCCTTTGTAGTATGCGTTGCAGAGTGCGTCCAAACAGCATGGATTCAGATGGGGCCACTGGTAGGCATTCTTGATTGGTGAAGTAGAAGGAGAGGTCGATAATGAGCCGATCTCGTCGGTCGTGTTGTGGAACGCTCCCGAGGGGGTTGAGGCGTAGATTGGATAGATTCTTGACAATGGAACATGGCAAGACTGTCCAAAAGCCTTTGCTGATGAAGTCGATGAACTCCTCTCAAATGAAGCCGTTGTTCAGCTTGGCCGATGTGTGTGGGCCTCGTGAAATAGCTTTGTCAAGTTGTTCAGGTGTCCAAGGTTTCGTTGACATTGGCACCGGAGCTCCATGTTGACGTAGGTGAGCGAGGAGTTGACTGGCCGGGTGGTCCAGACGATGGACATTGTTTGACAGGTCTGATGTAACACCCCGTTGTGTAACCACGAATTCCTCCCAGCAATCACAACGTTGGAATGCCTCCACGGATGCACGAATCAACTTACCTAATTCATCTCCAGCAATGCGCAGTTCTTGTGGACCAGCAGTTGTGGTAGGGCTGCTAGGTGCGCTTGTTGGGTTGGGTGTGGGTCGTGCACGGTTAGATGCAATCAGTGTTGTGATGGTTGGTTGGGAGTGAGACATAGTGTCATGAATAACAGATTGATTACTAGTTGCCACTGCCAAAGCAAGCAGTTGGCCTAAGTGGAACCCCCATCAAGGGTGTCCACCAGCCGGCCTTTCAGCTGTCTGCTGGATAGGCCGCTTGGTACCAGTTTAGAAGCAGGTTGTCCTCGTCAGGTGTATGCTGCCCATGGTCGTCCTTGCGTCGGCATCCACTCCAGCACTTGCCTTTCAAATGGTAGGACACATACATGTTGATGGACCTTCCGTTCCGGGTAACTTGTGGTCCTCCACCAGAGCTCAAGAAACTTATCGATAATGGAGACATACATCACCAAAAACACCCTTCCAAACTGAGAGATTGAAACGTTTTGACATTATTGGAACTCGTTTTCGTTATGCAATGAACAAGCATCAAGTTGCTTACACTGCTTGCCTCGTTTTGGTTCAATACGATATTGAGAATGGCCGTCCTATGATTCGCGTCCTCTAGTGTAATTGTGTTAGATTCGTCATTATTTGTTTGCATTTTCAATCTGTGTTGACATGCCTACTTTTGGGGGGAAATTTTTTGATGCCGACACAGGGATGGATACCCCGCAGTTTGTTGTAAATCATGATTTCTCTGATTTTTATCAAGTCCTTGTGGTCATTTTCACCCTCTTTTGCACAAAGTCAATATGATCGACTTTACTTATCACAAAGAAAATTCACCGCTCAACTATTTAGCAGTCCTAAATTTTGTTAAGCATCCAACTGTGTTTGCTGTAGTTTGCCAAAAGGGGCTGGTGAGTTTACGACAAAAGCGGAACATCTGTAAATTGTCGCAAATTCTGTCAAATGCCCTACAAGAAATCTACGACAATTTTTGTCGTAATTTACGACAATTTTTTGTCGTAAATTACGACATTCATGACAGTTTACCAGAAAATCCACGGAGTTGACGGCAGTGCATGCGTACTTTCATAACAGTTACCGTCCGACGCGAAATGAATAACGCTTTCTAACAGCAATCGAAGTCTTTTGTTGTTCTCCTTGGTCATTGTCGTGAAGGATTTTACGACATTTTTTGTCGTAATTTACGACAGGCTACAACATTTTTTGTTGTCATTTACGACAAAATCAGGATTCGGAAGACCTAATAACCAGAGGGATTTTCCGAATACGCTTTACTTATGTTCTAAATGATTTATATATTGACATGATTGCCGCAATTGGAGGCATTTCGGACAGTCGGAATATCCAAAATTGTCGTAAAAATTTGTCGTAAACTTTTACGACATTTTTTGTCGTAATTTACAACACTCTACAACAAAATCCACGGAGTTGACGGCATTGCATGCGTGTCAAATTAACCGCCCCTATTTCTTCGTGGAATTCAACAGACTTGGCATGCGCGAACGCAAGCTCTCTTCACCTTCGAAAATGTTGTTAATGACCCAGTCATTGTCGTAAACCTGTCGTAAAAATTTTACGACAATTTCGGATTATCTTGGGGTCATTAACGACAATTCTACACCAAGATTCTTCCGTTTTCAATTAGGGAGTTTTTTTTCAATAACAGCTAAAATACAAATGCGATGAGATGTTAAACAAGAGTTCATTTCCACGACCGAAGAAGGTGCAGACCACCAAAGACCCGTGCAGAAAGAGTGGGCAAGTTGGCCTGTCACGGATTCTCAATCAGATTCACAACAAAATGCGGCATATCCCAGATCAAAAGTTCCCTGAAAGTTCCCTAAAAAAATCCTTAAAAAGTCCCCGGGAAGTTCCCTAAAAGTCCCCAGGAAATTCCCTAAAAGTCCCCGGGAAGTTCCCTTAGAATTCGGGGAAAACGGGTCATATGGTAAAGATCACAACGCTGGCGCGAAAACACGTAAATTCGTTATTCGGAAAATCTTCAAATACACGTTTTTGCAGCACGGTCCAGGCAGGTCCAATGACGAGCCGGACCCTCAGCTCCAATGATGACAAGAGGCAGCTAGCTACAGTACACAGCACCACGCAATATAGTACTGAAGGCACATAGAAGTCGTAAAGAGATTTTGTGAAAACGGACAATGACCAGACGGATATACGAACAGACATGACACGGATGACAGATGGACCGTGAAATCTGTGTCATTTCGAAATTTGTCGGTTAAACGCATCGATCTGTTATCCCTCTGTTAACGGGGTCAACTGACACGTACAGTGTACACTGTTACGAAAGTAAGATAACTACGGTACCGTTGCTCAAAATACATATGAATTTCGAGTCATCTGTGTCAAACGTGAACCAGCCTAGAAGAAGAGATAGGAATGGGTCACAACAAAAGTTATAGAGTCTCTCCGAAAGCCACAGAAAGAAGTGACGTGATAGTTAGGCCTAAAGCTATTTCTGTACCTCCAAAGGGTCTAATCTAGTTCCAAGGTCACTCCAAGGTCATTACACTCTTCCCTTCTATGATCAGAGCTAGTCGATTGATCATACACTAAGTCACAAGGCGTCCTTACATCCACTTGATTCTCCATTCGACTTCAGAGGTGGTTCTTGACGCAATGGGCAATGCAAGCATATTGTCCATTAGACTCGACAAAACGGCACCAGCCGTCTGATGTTGATCCTTTCATGGATCGCATCCGTGCGCTGAATTTCCAAATAATAATAACTGAGACATTAATCGTTAATATGCTACTCTGTGGGCATTCGATTGCCGGTGAAATTTTCGGCTGTAAAGGTCAAGTACTGTGAAGCGGTGTGTCAACAACAAGTTTGAACCATGTGAGGCATCTGTATTTTGAACAGAAGTTGCTCAAGTCTCCCAAAGGGGTAAAGACTTCTCCCGCGACGTGGCGGGGTGAATTCGGGGCATGTAAGGTCCCGCGAAAAGTTGGTCAGGGTCCAGGGGAGAAAATAGTCCGCAGACTGCGGCGTTGTGCTTTCATGGAGCGACGGAAATCTCTGCGTTCCTGACGAAGCAACGTAAGCCACTCTTCCTTGTCTACCAATGACTTGCGAAGGACTAGTCGACGGCTTGTTAGCATCGGTTGAATTTCCTTAGGCAAGTCATCGGGCCCCATATCAAACTGTGAGTGAATCCCCTCATTGACAGTACTGTGACGTTCACGTAATTGAACGTTATCATCCAAATGTTGAACGGAGTTCCGTTGCTCCCACATGTAGAAGCCGATCGAGATCAGCTGTTGTGAGAGGCGGGACGCCCAAAGAGAGACAGATCGTCGACATCTTATCTCGTCATAATGTTGTTGTTGGAGTGGAAGCCAAGACGAGGCGATGCGTCCCTCCAAAAGGCCTTGGGACCCAATCACCTGCTGAGCCAAGAAGGCCGGCCGAACCGAAGAGGAGATGGTCCTTGGAGGAAATGAAGGAGGTGTGCGAACGCCTTGAAGAAGCTGTAGGATCGCTATTTTGATGGAAGGGCCCGTCAGTTGCAGGTCTAGCCACGCGGAGAAGGCTGCAGTGCAACGATCCCATTCAGCTGTTGCCAAAGCAGCGCGGCAGCGGGGAACGTGCAGATGATCCTCGAAGTCGCCGCGGCGTGGGCAAGCTGCTGATGTCTCCAAACCCCATAGAACTTTAAATTTGCCTGTGCCGCACATGCCCACACAATGTTTAGTAGACCACCTTTGTAGTCCTGCAGGAAGAGATCGCATGGCGCGACCTATTGTGTCCCAGGCAATCTCAGACTCGGCTTCGGCGGAGATAGTACCTTTGTCCCTCCAGCGCGAGCGTAGGGCCGGAAGAGTCACACTTTCTTGGATGAACTGAGGATCAAGGCGTGACTGTTTGGTGTCTGCCACGTACATTGCCGCAAGTTCAGTGAAGAAACGAGGGTTGGGGGCTATAAGATGGTTGGCCGTCTCAAGTTCCTTACGGTACTTCACCGCCATTCCATCCACCTCAAGGTTCCGTTTCTCCCACCAAGAAAGTTCGTCAAAGAGGTTGAGCTTGTCGAGATGTCCGTATACATGCTGGGGCGACCAATCCACCGAGGACCGAAGGATAGCTTCCCGAATGGATGACACCAAGTCGAACTGGGCATCGGTCGGAGACAGTGGACGATCTTCGAAAGCCATCTCAATAGCAGAGAGGCCATCACAAGCAATCTGCACCGTGGGGCCAGTCGAAAGGGTTGGGAACCATTGCTCAAGGAGCCAATCAACCGCCATGATACCGGCCAACAGACCAATGAGTTCGCTGCAGTATGGACTCTGATCCTGGGGCAAACCGGGGGTCTGACACTGGATGATGATTCGATGGCATCCTCCATGCTTCACCAGGAGTTGAACCGCCGCGGTCCCCAACTCGTTCTTGAAGGATCCATCGCTGATCACACGCAGGCGACCTTCCAACAGAGCATCAGCTAAGGTGGCTTCCTCCCCGTGAACCTCGATCTCATCAGGAACCCACCCGTAATAGTCCGTGCAGAGCTCGGCGGCCGTCTGCCACGCTTGAAGGATGGATGGGCTGGAGGAAGAAGACGGTTCAGAGGCACGGCCAGTACCGGTGAGAAGAACCCTGTCAGACCCTGTGATGGAGCGAACCGTAGCGCGAAGAACATCAGAAGGAAGCGGTGCAGTCCACCATGGGCAGGAAGGATGGGACGGCCCTGGTGCGTAGCGACGTGACGTGGTGGGGGAGCCCTCAGAGCAAAAGTGTTTCCAGGTTGCCCCATGGCGGTGGAAAAGGCCTGTGGTGGGTGACAGTAACCAATTCCAGTCCTCCAGACGGTCAGTCCATGGCCCCAAGGGCTGTTGTAGTGGGTGATGTGGCCCGTTGGAGGCAAGCAGGGCTCTGGACAAGGTGGTCTGCCACAGGTCCCAGTGTTGCCTTGTTGGGCAAACTGTCCTTGGCCATTGGTATGGCGAGCGGCAGCACTCATCCCTGAGCCCATTCCACGCGGAGCGACGAATAAACCTGCCATCAGCAGTCACAATGTCAGACACTGTGCATACCTGGAGGAACATTCGACACCAATTGAGCCATAAAAGTTCCTCCTGTTCAACCTCCAAGTTGATGAAGAGATCCATCAGAAGGGAGTCGTCCGTACGGCGATGGGAGAGGGCTGGAGAGTCATAGGCGACATAGATGTCCAAACCTTTGAGTTCATGCCATACTCGTTTCATCCACGTGTCTGAAGCTAGGATCGCCGTGTTGGTGTAGACTTGTTGCAAGAGTCCAAAGGACATCCCGGTTTCAAGTTGATGGGCTTGGACGTTGGCCTCCATATAGTCACCAGTTTTGGTCCTGTTGGCCATATGTCGGAGCAACATCTCAAGATGCTTAAACACTTGACAACCAAACGGATGTGGAAGTCCAAGACCCTGATAGGACAACGGAGCAAATACGACATCCCCAGGGAAATTACGACAGACACCCGCCTTCGGAAGGCACACTTGAAGTACCGGAGACATAATGTCTGTCCATTGCTGGGCATCCAGGGTTGTTAGCGCCATCGGATACTCCAATTTCTTCATGATGGTCAACCGGATGAGGGGGGGGAGAACATCATATTTGTGAAGCAGGCGGGGTCGAAGCTGTTCTGCCCAATCCTTGGCTTTAGCAACCATCTGAACCTTGTGAGCCTGAAGGTTTTCCAAGGGGGCAAGCATAACTCCCAAAGTGCGTTCCGAGTCATCTGGTTCAAGGCGACGCAAGGATTCAGTAGCACCTGAAAGACCTTGAATTTGGAGTTCAAAGTCGGGAGCGACTGCTTTTTTGCCACAAAATTTCCATTTGCCTGTGCGGGAGTCCCACTCAAAATCGATGAGCCACCAAAAGGACTTCTCGGGGTTGATCGCACCTCCAGTGGCTCGGATTCCCCCAGCCCACAGAGTGGCGGCGTCCTGCACCGATGCACATATGGCTTCGCCCGAGTGATGGACTGTATTGTCAGCCTCAATGACGTCGGTGTCGTCGACAAAGCAGAAGCATTGGGCTGTGACCAACTGTGACTCCAGCGCTGAGTGGCACTCAAAGCCGTAACCCATCGCTTCCATCATGGTAATGAGAACGGAGCTCACGGAGATCCATATAGGGGGTCCTGCCCCATTACCCTGACCACAGCCTTGGAAGGGGATAACAGAAGGCGGCTTGAAAGTCCGTTCTGAATCGCCAAAGCCTGTCCGCACCCGATGCGTCGCTGATGAGAGCATGTTAAACATGGAGGATATGCCGCGCTTTGGCGCCTCAACGCCGTATTCTTCATCGCTTCTTCCACCCTGCGGACCATTCCCCTTGAACAACGTTTCGTGGAAGCAACGCCCCGAAACCACCCCGCCACGCTGCGGGTAGAGTCCGAACCATCTGGTTCTGACTAGAGCAACTTCTGATTATCAGACGCCTCACATGGTTCAAACTTGTTGTTGACTCGCCGCTCCACAGTACTTGACCTTTACAGCCGACCATTCCACCGGCAATCGTATGCGCTACCTAGCATTTAATCGATTAATGTTTCAGTTATTATTATTATTAAACATGGAGGATAGGACCCTCCATGTCAGCCCAAACCGGAGCATCGCAATGATTGCCACCCAATGAACAATGCGATCAAAGCAGGATTTGGCATCATTAGAGATCCACCCAGCCGCGCGTTGTTGGAGAATCAACAAGTCCCAGACCAGACGTTTGGACAGGGCCAGATCAATGGCCTGGTGGCGTTTCCGAGAACCACACTGACCGTCTGGAATCAAGGAGTGTTCCTCAGCATATCGCATGGCCGCTCGACCCGCTTTTTTGTTGCTGGCCTGTGCCTCCGAATTCATTAACTGAATAGTACGCATTTTCGACAGCCGGAAGTCGCCTGCCTTTTTCTCAATTGCAAAATTCATCAAGTTCTGCCAATTCGAGGGGACGAATCCCGTTGCCAAAGGAAAATTGCGAAAAAGGGCATCACAAGAGGCAATAACTGGTGACTGGGCCGCTGCCTTGAAGTGTCCGTTGTGCAAGCCATGAGGTTCTGAACCTTTGTCCTCCGGATTTTGAGACCAGAAGTACACATGATCAGAGGTAGTAACCTCAAGGTGCACAGGTAAGTGATCCTTGTGAAATCGGCAATGTGAAAGAAAGGCCGTAGTGGCGGGGTCGAGAAGGTCGGGCAGGGAGTAGCGGCCTTCCAATAGTGCAATGGAATTAGATTCAGCCTGAGCGCCGGTGAATGCTGTATACAAAGGTTCCGCCATAGGTGGAGTTGTATATGGAGCACGCGTCTGGTCGTACCGTGCCGCATTTTCTTGCATACAACCTTCTTCAACCAGAGCACGGTCAGTGAGATAGTACGCAGCTGCTGAGTGCCGTCTGGTAATTTCTCTTCAATCTGCATAGCCCGTAAACCCCCGGTAGATCCTTTTTGTTGGGCGCGACGACGACGTCTCGCCTCCTCTCGTTGCTTCATTCGTCGTAACCAAAGGAATCTATCGTGGGCCTTCTGGGATTTCCATTTCTTCTGCTTTGCATCCTTTGTCTGAACCGTAAGAAAGTCCCGTCTCAATTGGGTTGCCTGACGTTTGGCTTGCTTGTATGCCCTACGTTCAGCTGCCAATGCCTCTTCCAGTTCATCAGTCGTCTACTTCCACGCGTTGCACAGCCTTGTCTTCTTCATCAGGCGCCGGACCTTTCCGGAGCTCACACGACATCACTTGCGTCCTTTAAGGAGTAGCTTCCAGAGACTCAATCGATCCCAGAAGCCCTGCAATGAGGTAGTGCGACAATTGTCTTCAGCATGCCGCCGTACCATATACATCTGCCGGTGAAGGCAGTTATATTTGCGTGCCAGCGAGGGTGACATCTGTCGTCCATTGGATTCAATGCGCTGATTGAGCTTGGTAAGACGGGACGGGATGTCATACTCCTCGTAGCCCAAGTGGGCCAGCTGAAGATACCGTCTAACCGACCGCTTATCCAAAAGAGTGAGCTTGCGAGGTTTAAAGGTAGACCCCTGGGGTGTGAAATTGCCCAAAGCCGTGTTCAAGTCGATATCGATCCATAGTGCCCTGTGGTCTGGTTCAACAAATTCACCAAATGCGTAGTAGCCACCAGCCAGAACCGGAACACCTGAAGTGGTAAAGATTCCGTCGATGGGAACGTTGCTTTGATTTTGTTGGTGGGTCGCCGTAGGGGGATGCCGTTTCAAAATTGCTTCCTCCATTCCGCACTCGCGAAACCGCTGTCGTATGGAGTCCGGGGAGTTGACCGAAAGGTCTTCGTTAGCATCGATCCCCAGCAAAACTTCACAACCCTCGTCCCTCCACTTTTGAATTTGTTTGCACAGGTCATCGACCAATGCTTTGCGCGGATCAATCTTACCTTTTATAGAGTTAAAGTATAGACGTTGTTGGGCCCACACGGTCGATTCCCCAGTACCTTCTCTGTTTGGCCTATATGCCGAGACAACCACTAGATCACGTGAAATCGGGCGTCGAACCGCCTCATTTACGTCGAGCACCAAGCCGGAGTGATCATCACCCCCTTGCGCCTTCAGCTATAAGCCCAACGTCCCAACCCCGTCGAATCGCTCCCTGCTTCTTTAGCTCGGTGCGAGACCTGACTAAGCACTGTCGCGATGCATCCTCCCCATTGAAAGGCTGTAGTTGCCGAAGATTGTGACTGCCGTTTATTATAAGCGACAGCCGAATAAAAACCTCTGTGCTTTGCCTGCATCGTTGCTCGCCGCATCCTATCGTTCCACCTATGTCCCTCTGGGGTCCCTCTGGGATAGAGGGCCAAAACGTTTTGGCCTCCGCCAACAACGCTATTCCCACTCGCTCGTCTTGCAGCCAGGAGTTGATCTGCCGCTGTTTCACATGGTCACCTTCCTCCGGAACACCGTTAACGTTCTGGAAGGTGACGCTAGTAGCTAATGAAGAGCGACAGCGATGGTCGTCGCCAAGGCAGTCTCCCCCTGGTGGAAGAGAGCGTAAATATTCGTCAAGTGAGGCGTGGGAAACAACACTTGACGGGCCACTAATTCGAGATCTTCTGCCTGCACGCCGTGACCTAGCGGCAGACGACCTGGGGCCTCTCATGGCCCTGCCGCGGAGCGAGGTGCTCCGCGGCCGGCCAAAGAAGGCAACTTAGCAGATCCGCTCGTACCGGATTTGCTAGATGGAGAAGGGAGAAAGAATGGGTGTACACCCCCCGGAGATGCCGCTGTCAGAGATGAGAGGCTCTCGTACTGGGACACAGCTATAGTAGTATCACCCTCCATTTGAGTTGTGTCCACCTGGACCTGAGACGTGTTCCAAGAGCGCTGCTTTGGCTGCTGAAAGTGAACAGACGTGCTGGTACGAGTTGACTTAGTGGGCGGCTTAAGGCCAGCCTTAGACCTGTCAACTCTCCTCTTAGTCGTGGAAGTATCCTTGCTTTTCCTCTTTTTTGGTGGCGTAGTGAATTCGGACCGGTCTGGAGATACCTCATTGTTTTGAGCAGGTGGTTGCGAGTCGATGGCCAAGTGGTGGGCTGTTTGACGTTGAAGGGCGTCAAGTTGGGCTTGAAGGGCCGCAGTCGCGGCTTTCTGCTGAGCCAGGGCCTGGTCTTTAGCCGCCACGAGCTTCGATTTCCACAAAGGCATCCTCCAGTTGTTGTTCACGTTCGTGCATTTCATCCAGCATCCCCGTGACCGTTTGTCCATCGTCAATATCCTTGGCATTCGCCATATCCATATCGATCGAGAGTTGACCTTGGTAGACGTCGGTGGTATCTTCGATCACATCGTCCAAAAACTCCAGAGCTTCTTCCACCTTGGCCGACTGATCGGAAGCCTCAATAGCGCGTAATGTGTTGGTGGACCATACCAACCACTTACGACGCGTCGCCTGGATCTCTGATTTGGGAATCCATTTACCCAAGACTCGATCAGCTTGCATATCGGTAAGTTCGCACAGGTGATGAATCAAGAACGGAACTATCCCTCTCAACACGTTTCGAGCTAACTGACCATATTTCTTGCGGCATACAAAGATGTAAGAGCCCTCCATTTCTCCAGGAAGGATCATCAAGAAGAGTGGTCCTGCTTTATGGCGATCAATATCGTTCTGCAGTTTGCGGTCGGTGGCTTCAGCCAGTTTGCGTTGTGCCCCGGACAGATCTTTGAGAAAATGATTCTCGAGGTTATCGGAGAGGAGCGACTTCTTCTTCGTCTTCTTCTTCTTCACCTTCTTCTTAGTCACCTTCGTGAATGCCCCGGATAGAGAAACCGCTCCCTCCTGAGATTCATCGTCCTCCTCTTCAGATGAGTCGTCGTCGGCAGTTGTTGGAGGGGTCTGTCTTTGGCAGCTGTGGAAGCTTGATCAGCCTGGGCCGGAGTGGCCTTGATGGACAAGAGCAGTTTGAACAGGGTGCAAGAACCGTACAACCTTGTAGTAGCAAACTTGAACATTCCCGTGAAGTCGATGCCTGGATAAAGAACCTCCGTCAAAATGTAGTAATCCCATAACTATCTGATCAAGGTCAGGATCGCATCCTTCACCGGACCGTAGGCCTTTACACTCAGCAAACTTTGTTGTGCCGACTTCCAATCACTGATGTAGGTGGCCGGTGCTGCGAATGGAAAGTCAGGTTTTGCAGTTGCTGGGTGGAGAATTGACCTCAAAGTGCGATCAACTCTCTTGGCATGACTCCTCCGAGTGAAACAATGTGGACTAGTCACTCCGGGGGACCGTTCGTCGTACTTTGCTCGGCCCGTGTACGGAATAGAAACCCAGTCCATCTTGATACCAATAGGTACTTCGAAATCAAATAGTCTCATCAGTTCCTTTGCATAAGCTGAGAAGTTAACTTCTGCAGGAATAAACGAGCACGATCCGATCTTCACAATTTCTCCATACTGCAATGGAGAAGGGTAGCACCCAGCGCCTCTCCCCAATTGACGTAATCCGGTGTGAAGATAGTCTTGGACGGCCTTGACCGAAGCCTCAGCCGAGAAGCCGACGCGAAGGCGTGCGCGTAGTTTCTTCTCGCCCGGCTTGCTGTTGGTTGCCGCGTAGGGACAGTTACCGTATTCCATATCACAGTAAGTCGACAGAGCGCGATAAGTCGAAATGCGATTATGTAAATCTACTGAGTTTCGAATCCAAAGATTCTGTTGCTTATATGTGGTATCAGAGATCGGAAGAAGCTCCAATTCATTAGGGGAATTGTTGATGGCTTCCTCCATAGAATTCAGAACTGTCGACAAGAGCGCCTCCGCCACAGTTCCTGAATCCGACCCTTGATACTCCACAGAGAAAGTAGTCTCAAAGATGTGACATTTGCCTGGTATCCCTTCCATGTTCACCTGAATGAGGCTCGAGATCCGTTTGGCCAGTGTTGGGGGACGTTGAACGCGAGAAGGAGTTGTTGCCGAGGCCTCCATAAGGGTCCCTGTACCTGCTGAGTCTTGTGTTGCCATAAGTTTAGGGGAAGTCAACGGTGGAGTGTTGTCGTCCATGGCCACATTGTGTGGGTTAGCCCCAGCGCTATTGACCCGTTCATCATCATTGTCTTCCTCCATTGCGTCGTCCACAATGTCCTCCCTGTCGTCAGTATCATCAGCATCAGTGTCTTCATCTTCATCCGACGACTCAGGCGCCTTGGAGTGATTTTTTTCACCGCCACCACTTCATCCTCGTCAGATTCTTGAATTCCACTGCCGTCGGACGAGTCATCGTCACTTTGTAGAGATGCAAAGCGATTTGAATTTTGCACCTGGTCCCCTTTGGAGCTGGTGGAATCGCGTTGAACATCAGTGCCTGGTTCGTCAATAGAATACACTGGATCGTATATTTTTTGAATACAAGGCGGATCCGGTTCCTTCACTGATTCTCGGTTTGGAGCTTTGTTGATAGACTTGCCACTTCTTGTTTGTTTGATTGCGTCGACAATTGCGGATGGCGGGTCATCGTAACACTCCAACAGAAACTCATTAATCCAAGGATAGTCAAACAACTCGGAGCAAATTAACCAAAAGCCCACCAAGGGATGCTCCAAGCGTAGACGTGGATTGGTCAGTTCGCCTGAAAAGAAATGGCTGTCGTCCGGTTTGCCCTCAAACTCATCAATACCGAAAAAGGAAAACGGATTTTGTAAAGAAATCCGCATGGCCAAGATGCGTAAAGACCAGATTTCTTCAGACGGATTCACTTCCATCGTTTCAGTGTCAAATGCGGCAATGAGGTACTTTGTCAATTGACTATTATCCGAATTCAGCGATGTGAAAATGCGAGCAAAACGATCTTCACAAGTTGCTGTCCCTGTATTATCGTTAAACGGATCGTCGTACCTGAGGCAAGGTTGGTTCCAAGCGGCAGGAAAACGTTCTTCCCATGCAATAAAAAGCGCGTTACCCGTATGGATACGGTCATGGCGTTCCAATGCTTCGTCGACAGCATCTCCTGAATATAAATTCTGCATCCACCACTCCAACAGGTTTGGAACAATGCTGTTGTAATGCCCACTCCTGCGAGCTTCTCGTTCGGCGATTTGTTTTGCCTCAATCTCATCAGCCATGCGTTGCGCTTCATTGTCATCAGTAACACGCTTCTCTTCAGTCTGGGTTTCAGACACCATCTTGGAATCGATGGGATCCCTGTCTTTAGGCTGCTCTAGGTCAATTTCAACTCGTTTCTTGACGGACTTTTTAGCCCCAGAGGTCGTTTTCATCTTAGACACGCCCGACTTTTTTGTCTTCGCCGAGGATGCCTTCGCGTTGATAGATTTGCCTATGGTGCGCCGGTGTTGAATGGTTGGCTTGGAGATAAATTCGAAGTTTTCTACGTTAATTCAGTACTAGCGCTACGCAAGGCAGACTGGTTGGTTCTGCCGGAATGCGTGTTGTTTTGTTTCTGAAATAATTTCTTCTATGTGCGCTGAATTTCCAATGTACCATTAGTGTAAAAATTTGTAATAGAATACAGACCTCTGTATTTTGGATCCAACTTCTTTCCATCAGTATTCTTGATCAAAACTTCTCCACCAATTCTGTAATCAAATTCTTTTTGCTTTGCGTTCTGTCTCCTCAAGTTTTCATTGATCTTGTACTGTCTCTTTTGCTGCATACAAAGTAGATTGACAATCACAGGAATGTTTAGTAACATGTCACGATGAAACTCAGTCTCACCAGGAGTATTGTTCATCAATGCTGTCGATACAGCACATCTCATTGCATGATTGCAAGCAGCAAGAGCTCGCTTGATTTCTTCAACAGCGACTTGAAAGTTTGGAGCGGCATTGTTGTATCTAGTTCGCAAAATGTTGGCCACTGTCAAATGCATTCGTTCAAAGATCGCATTTGCAGTTGCATTCTTGCTAGTGGTTCCGCCATCATGGATTCCCCAAGTAGCAAGTTTCGCTTGAAAAGCTTCACCAATGAATTTGCCTCCTTGATCGTGAATACATTTGTATAGTCTCGGATATCCTGACAACCACAGCATTTCGAACACGTTTGCCACGTGTGCTGGGACGCAAACGCACGCCCAAAATCTGTCCGTTTGGATTGATTTGAGATTTTTAAAATTGTTTTCTTAAAAAAAAAGCTAAATAATTTGAATGTGTCCGTTAAAATGCTCTGCGACTCTGACGCGGGACGTTTCTTTTGACGCGGGATTGACGCGAGTTGCGTCAATTTGACGCGGAGTTGCGTCATTTGACGCGCAATCGGCGTCAAACTGACACATCTCTGCGTCAATCTGACGCAACTCTGCGTCAAACTGACGCAACTCCGCGTCAATTTAACGCGGGCTTGTATGTCTTCGACGCGGGACGAAACCCGCGTACCCGTACACGTGTACCAGTTCATCATTGTGATGAAAACATCGGAGTATGTGAAAAGGGTGTTGTTCGTGCAAGACAAGAATGTGACTTTTGCAAGATGAAAAAGTTCCAATCATTGCGAGGTATTTGGATCCATAACTATGATAAGCATACGTTTGCGGTAGGTGCTGTCCTGGTATCAATACAAATTGGTTTAGAGCTTGGAACTGTGAAATTTTGGGATATACCTGACTATGAAGCCGAGTACTTCTGAGAAACGGATCCAGAACTGTAGCCCCATAGCATAATGACGTAGCTGGTGTCAGAACCTGTACTGTGCTCTTATAACATTGTGTTTCTGGCCTCGCTTGAGTTTGACGCGGGATTGACGCAACTGCATCTGTTTGACGCGGGATTGACGCAACTCCTTGAATTTTCACAGTGCGTCCGCGCTAAAATGGCTACGGACACTTCACGTTTTCAAACAAAAAAACATATTAAACAATTAACGGACATTTCAATTGCGTGCGTTGCATGTTGTGGTGCGTTCCTGCAGTTTTATTCTCAATAAAAGCAAGTTCAGTGAGATTTGTCACGGGATCAATACAAGTCAACGCGTTGAATTCAAGTTCTCTACCGTTGACGTCAATTTTCCATAGAATAATAATAACTGAAACATTAATCGATTAAATGCTGCTATCTAGCGCATGCGATTGCCGGTGGAATAATCGGCTGTAAAGGTCAAGTACCGTGAAGCGACGAGTCAACAACTAGTTTGAACCATTGGAGGCATCTGGTGGACAGAAGTTGCTCTAGTCAGGATCGAAAGGATCCCAACTCTACCCGCAACAAGGCAGGGTGATTTTGGGGCGTTGCTTCCTCAAAACGGGGTTAAGGGGCCAGGGCCGGGTGGAAGAAGCGATGAAGAATACGGCGTTGAGGCGCCAGAGCTCGGCGGTAGGCCGTGCGTTCCATTCTAACCAACTTCAGCCACTCTTCCCTATCGACCAGCGGCTTGTTCAACACTGTTCGGCGTTTCACGGCGAGCATGCTGTGAACTACCTTGGGGAGGTTGGTTGGGCCCATATCAAACTGAGAGTGTATACCGCCGTTCACCAATTGGCTACGTTCGCGTAGTAGCTGTACGTTGTCCTCCGAATGTTGCACCGAGTTCCGGTGTTCCCACATATGAAATCCAAGCAAGATCAGCTGATGCAGCAGGCGAAAGACCCACAGGGTCGGAGAGCGTTGGCTCCCTCGTGACTGAAGGTACTGTTCCTGCAGGGCCGCCCACTGAACAGACAGCCGGCCTTCCAATAATCCTTGGTAGCCGATGCATTGTTGAGAGAGGAAGGCGCTGCAAAGATGAAGCGGAACCACCCGACTGGAAGGTAGGGACGGATCACGGACCCCTTGAAGAAGATGAAGGATAGCGTGTTTGATGGCTGGGTCAGCGACTTGAGCGTCCAGCCATTGGTCCAAGGTTGCCGTTCGGCGATCCCATTCCGCACTTGCAGAGGGCGCCATGCATCGAGGGACATGAAAGTGGTCCTCGAACTCTCCGCAGCAGGGGCACACAGCTGAGTCTTCGGAACCCCACCGGACTTTGAATTTCCCCACACCACACATACCCACGACATCCTTCGTAGTCCAGCGTTGGACACCTGCCGGATAAAAATCAAAAATCAAAAACTAAAAGGTAGAAAGTATTTTCCACACACTTCTCCAAAACAAAACTGTACCAGTCCTACGCGTTTTGTACGTACTGTTAGAATAAAGCAAAATGTGCTCTATCGTGAGTGCCTTTAGCGCTCAGAACAAACTCTCTGCAATCTAAATTTGTAATCGACGGTACAACACTTTCACGACAATAGTTCTCCTGTGTCTAGGTATACTTTGAGTGAAATTGTTCCTATTTGATTAATGTTTGGCTTGAATTGATGATTCAATCACAAAAGTGAGCTCAACCCTTGTTTACAGAACTCGATTCGACTTCTACGACACCAATTCTGTGTTGAATGCAGTACTTTGGGATATCTTGCATTATTCCCTACTGCATCGTACACAACATCAATATTCCACTTGTATAGGATCTTTTCCTGTTTGTGTGGATACAGATTGTCCGACAGACTTGCGTCCGGCATACTTGCGTCGAATCCCGACATCGCGCAC